TACAATTTCTTGTATTAGGAATTCGTCTTTTTGCATACCCCAGCTTTTCTCCATGGAGACACAGACAGGGAGAGAAGTTTGGGGGTCAGAGCACAGGGTCTGCCATTGTATGGCGCCCCTGGAGCAGTTGGGGTTAAGGGCCTTACTCAGGGGCCCAACGGAGTAGGGTTCCTTTGCTGGCCCCGGGATTTGAACCGGCAACCTTCCAGTCACAGGCGCAGATCCTTAGCCACAGAGCCACCGCTCTGCCCTAATGAGTCTGGAGTGCAGTACAGCTCACTGTAGCCTTTGCATTCTGACCTCTGAAAGAATATCTAATTGGTGTTAATTAAAACTAGGTAAAATCTGATACTTAAGGAAATTCATAAGCAGAAAGTATTCTTAAACAAGTTTTTTTTTTCGCTGCAAAAAGAAAAGTAAGTTTAATAGAATTAATTTGACGTTTAAAATGACTCTGTGTATTTACTCTAAATAGAACTAAGAAACTATAATGAAAATTGTACATTTTTAAGGATCTAAGACTAAAATGTACTGTAAATAGGAGGAGGTCTTTAAGCACTTCCAATGTATTTTAAGACTGATGACGTGCACTCACCTTTTCTCTTTAATCTCCTCTTCTCTGATGGGGCACTGTGTAAGCTGGGGACAGCTGTGGACGGTCTCATTGTCATATACCCATTTTTGCTTTCCTCACTATGGAGAAGTGAATAATAGAACAGACATCTGCTTTAGTTACATATAATTATTCAAAACATTGCATGTGAAGAAACATCTGTCTTTTTATCTCAGCAGCATCAATTACAGAGAACTGCTGCTGTCATCTGTACCCACTAATAAATACAAAAGCATACCAGAACATGCAATATTCATGGTACATTAAAGAAATCCAGAGCAGCAACATTAGACACAACAATTTTTAGGCATCATGCAAGAAAAGTAATACTTTATTCACAAGTCATGTGAACCTGCCCAGCATTAACACTAACAGCAAAACCTGTTGCCGATATTACACTGATCGTGTCAGTTTGCTTATTAAATCACACCACAAAACAGTAACATTAAAGAAAAAATCAGATATTAAGCAATTTTTAAACAATTTTCCAGAAAATATTCCTTACAATCACCAAATGTTTTTTTTTTATTGCACTTGGCTGCACAAAAATCTAAATAAAAAAATATGGCTTTGCTGACTTGTTTAAAGGTTATTCTTTCCCTATAGTACTCTCTGTACAACTTGTAACAGCTTTTAATGTTCTAAATACAGTTTAGTTTGGGTGAGAATAAGGCAAACTGGTCTTTTAGCATGAATAACATACATTGATCTTCAAAGAAACTTCAAAGTCTTGGTCACAACAACTCAGGGTAAAGTAGGCATAAGCAACCAGTTTGAGCTGTAACAGCTAATCCATCACAGCCCCCAATCAAATCTAATTGACTCATTGCCAGGTGGTCCTTGTAATCAACATATATTCCTTTCTACACATCCATAAGGCTAAAATACTATTTTTTGTAGGATGAAACACAGATCTAACAGGATTAACTTTTATCTTTAAATATACTTCTGATTATTAGATTAATCAATTCTGATCACCACAGAATGTTTTCTGCATAAATACAGAAAGACAATGAGAGAAAAGAGTAGAAAGATGTATAACCTAAAGATTTTTTTTCATAGCAGTATAATAATGTGAAATATTGTATATGTTGTCTATTTTAAGTATATTCCTAGTGGAAAAAATACAACCTATGTCAGTTATGTGCAAGACAAAAACATTCTAAACTTTGAACTCATGGCCCAGAAGCAACAGGAAAGTTGTAAAACAAAAGAAAGATGTTTTCAGATAAAGGTGACCCTTACTTTTCAGTTCCTCTTTTGTTCTGAATATTCTTATAATGTGAGTCATCTCCCAGTCTGGAGCAAAAGAACATGTCTCTTTTCCTTCTGAGAAAGTTCAGGAGGTCACCAAAACAGCAATACTCCGTTATGACCAACGTCGGACCTGAGAGTAGAAACACCAGAGTTTTGTATTGGTGTGAGCATTGCTTGTATGGATTACTGCATGTTTTAAATTATACCATTAAAATGCAGTCTGACAAACAAAATATATTTTAAAAGTGTTCAATTTACATGACTAGAGATTGTTTATTGTAAACCCACTTAAAGCCTGTTTAAAGAATTTATGTATATGTAACAAATGCACAAGTTGCTGAAAGTTATAAAGAGAGTTTCACATTGGTACAAACTAAAACAATCCACAGTTTCTGTCAGCATGTGGTAGATGAAGAAGAATGGAAAGCTTCTTGTACTGTCTCTATTTTGCACACATCATCCTTCACTTTGAATATTCCACTTTTCCTTCTGCAAACTCTACAATGCTGTACAATTTTTTAAACTTTTGTCTCACAAGTCCCTTGTTTTGCTTTTTATTTTGTGCTTTGCATCCTTAACCCTAGCTTAATGACTCCATTTTCCCTTTAGGTTTCATGTTTAAGCACACTTCATGTCTGTTTCATGTGTTTTTGCATTTGTTCTGTTTTGAATGCAAAAAGTTCAATTGCACTTGAAACTGTTAACAAGTTTGCAGTTTCAAGCGTGTATCTTCAGTTACAAAAACACTGTATTGTATAATAAGTGATATCTGCTCCAGATATCTGCTATCTGCTCCAGATAATTGTATAGGAATATCTTGTTATCCATCTTCTTGTTGGCAAACTTACAATACAAAGGCCAATATATTGCCATATATATTACATATATATATATATGTAGTTCAGGTGGGTAGCTGTGTCAGCATGTGTAGGCTGCAAAGGAACAAGTAATAGGTTTATTCCACGCTGAAAAGAGAAGAAAGAAAACATAACGTTTCGTTCGTGGAGCCAACCTGAAGAAGGCTCCACGGCCAAAACGCTGTGTTTTCTTTCTTCTCTTTTCAGGTATTTCAGGAATAAACCTATTACTTGTTCCTTTGCACATATATGTATACATATTACATATTACATATATATTGTACGCAATATATTGCTTACAATACAAAGGCCAATATATTGTTATAGAAGCTACAGTATGTTATTTAAATGTTTAAGTGCTGACTGTAAGCTGAGATTTACATTGTGCCCAATTCGTCCTCCCACAGCATCCTCATTGAAACATGTCACTATCCAGTAAAACCTTGTAACCTGGCTATTCGGTTGCTGTTAGCCTTGCTTTATGTAAACTTCAGGCGCTTCTGAACAGAGCACCATACTAATCTGTTTGAACTTCATTCATCTTCTTAAGTAAATAAGAAAGGTTACAAAAAAAGCTAAGTCTACTTGGCTCTGTGAAATAGCTGGAAGGGTAACTAAATGTGTACAAGTAAAAAAATGTAAGTAGCATTCATACATTTATATACATAATATATCTGAATAAGAGATTAATTTTTAAAAACTCCAAGATATAGACAAGCTACTTAAGGAAACAGGTTTAACAATGTTACCTCCCACTGTGCAAGCTCCTAACAGGTTGACAATATTCATGTGATGCCCTAGGTAGCTCAAGACCTTGAGTTCAGACATCAGTGCCTCTTTCTCAGTAGCATGAGCTCTTGCTGTAAAAAAAAAGTTTAAAGTTGTAAAATGTAAGTTGTATTAAGAAGACTGAACAAAAAAAAATTCAAAAAAGTTCCATGAACTAATTTAAAGAAATTATTTAACTTACGTTTCAGCATTTTGACAGCTACAGTCATTATTGTGTCTGCTTTTGACATTCCATATGCTGTGGCCTCCACCACTTTTCCAAATGCTCCAGAGCCCAGTGTTTTACCTAGAAGTTAATTTGGGTAATTATAGGAATTTTATGTCTTCATAGGTCTTACTACATGGGTCTTACTTTTATCAAAATCTACAGGACAGTTCCTCTTGATCTGCTACTTTGACAAACCAGTTCTAACTCAACTTTAATACAAAATGCACTCTGGGCACTTAGTATAAACAGTACGAGCAATTTCTATAAAAACAAGGTATAATGATTTATAGCAGTTTTACATAATGCTTTGGAAACAGTATTTTATGTGTCTCAAGCTGATGAAGCTCCTTGCATAATGATACCAATGTAACCTTGATGTCAAAGCACACATATAAATAAGCTAGAAAGCTATCAGTGATCATCATTATTTACTTGCCCCATATAGAAATCATGATGAATTTTTGACATTGACGCTGACAGTAAAGGAACCACAACAATGATTCAAGTAGAGTAATAATTCACTACACTGAAAAAAAAACAATTAACCCTTCTAGTCTAGTCTTCGTATAGCAGAAGAAAGTTTCCCAGTCCAAATAATTTTCTACGTTCTTTTCACTTTTCAGTTTGGATCTAACCTCTATATTTACAGCTCACATGCTGGCACAGCTGCCCCCTCAGAAGTAACATTTTTATTACAGCCCAATGCCAAAAATATTTTTGGACCTTTTTAGAGTTTCCAGAAATTTGGTAGCAGATACATTTTGTTACTAGTTAACATTCCCGAGATATTCTATAAGATTAATAATGGAATTACTGAACTAGGGGGCACACTCTATATTTATTTTCTTAAATATAAATTTATTATTATTTAGCAGATTAAAAGCTTTTGAAAACTCACCAAATCTGAGTTTATCTCGGGGGAACTCCCATTTTTGATCATATGGTAGCTGTGATGGATCAATATATACATAATTGTTGCCATTTATTCCTTCAATAACCTTCCATTGAATCTGATATTTTGGCTTCTGCAACGAAAGAGAGGAGATTTCTTTCTTCCATGAACACTACTAAGTATCTGAGCAAAAACATGAGCAGCAGAGCGATCAGACTGTGGTGATGTACCTGCAAGTACTTGTAGAACAGAATGAAGAGAATGAAGCAGAGCCCTCCAGCTGCGGCAGCAAACCCAGTCAGTAGCGGAGTAAAGAGTTCATGCTGCACGATCCTCTCTGAATCAGAAGTCAGAAACAAAACAAACAAACAAACAAACAAACATACACTGTCATGTTGTGGTGATTTTTCTTCTATATAATTCTGACACAAGCCATGGTTGAAATCTTTAATGTCAAAGATTTCTCTTCAGTCCACGCTAACAATGCTTGTATTCGTAAAGCACAACCAGCTCACGTTGGTTTCTGTGTTGGAGAAAGCTCAGTTCCATAAGGAAGTGAACATGTTATCAAAAATCCTCCATCACATTTAGATGCCCGAATAGTTTCAAATCACGTAACATGTGGGTCCTAAGACCCAGTCTTGGAGAACACGCTCTCTGATGCTTGAGTTTCGAGTGGAAACATTAACTGAAATCTAGAGTGCACATCACCGTAAGCTTTTAAATTGTAATGTCAGGTAGATGGAACTCACATAGAATGAAAAACCTTTTAATACAGGAAATCTGCATTTACAGTATTCTAAATCCCACATCTTATCCATGTGCTCCGATGGTTTCACATGGATAGGAAACAAAAATCATGTCTTGAAACTTGTTTTTATTCCACATTTTTGTTATAAAGCTCATTCTCAAATGTTTTCTTAGGCCACATTTAATTCTTGTTGTATTTACAAGTTCAAATAGAAGAAATTAATATCCTTTCTTCAGAATTTTGAGTCATAATAATATTATAGGAATTCATATTTTATAAACATACTGTAATTTTTCCTGTCCTTATCATTGCACTTTTAATTGAGCTTCCAATTTCATACAGCATAATTCCCTTGGAAACCTAGTAACTGGAAGTGTATTACAACCCTGACTAGTGTCTACTAGTGACACTGGATTTAACAATAGTACTGTATGTTATTTTAAATGAAAGATTTAAAATGCCAAGTTGAAAATATTTTGTTTTCACACAATAAAAAGTAAAATATAATGCTTGTTTGTTGTATCTTCAAGTACAAAATAAATGTTTACTGTTTAATTTACTTATGAGAATAGATGCAAAAAAGCAGTATTTTGCAGCTTGCATAAGAGCTGTCACAGCTCTCAATATATCCTTGTTTTAAACCCTCAGTGTTTAAAAATGCATGCCATGTTAAAGTTTAAAACACATATGAAGTTAAACCTGGAAGTTAATAAAACAAAAGGGACAAAAAATATCTCTGCTTTAAAACACTGTAAATGCACAGTTGTCACAGACACACATTAACTCACATCAGAAATGCGAAGACTAATTCTCTTAGTGTCAATGTTTGAATTTTTAAAAAGGCATCAAAACATAAGGCAAGGAAAAATAAAAAAACACTGGCATTTAGAAAAATTCAAAATAACATTTTTCAGAAACATTCAGTGAAAATGAACCTAAAACATTAGTACTTGTGTTATGAGTGTGTCAAGTGTTATGAACATTTGCAAATTTGATGTGTCTATTCAGCCATCTAAATATTATCTAATCCTGTTTTAGAATCTAAAATATTTTACATCATAGGCAAAGTCTTATATCAGAAGCAGAAGTCCAATATAAGGAATTTTAAGTATGAATATCAGTGGATATTCAGTTAAAAGTGACTAAAAATGCCAAAATCTGGGTGTGTAAATTTGGCTTTATATTTATTGGTACAAACCAGTACACACATACTGTATGATAGCTGATCCAGATCTAAAAAAAATATTAAAACATGCTGAATGCATTATTTTAATATTAAGAAGTTTGGATTTCCTTAAAAAGAGATGCATTTCATGAACACTTTAATTTTAAAAGGACTAAAATTTTAAAAATACTGATAAATTAGTTGAACAAAAGAAACATATTTCACTAGGAATGGTAACACCCAAGAATAAAGTATCATGGAGGGAAATTTTGGCTTAACCCGCTTGGCTGAGGGCTGACCTCCTGGCCAGAGGACAAGGAGACCAGGACCCCCAAAGAACCAAGCAGGACCCCAAACCACCAATGCAGAACTATGAAGCATGGAGGAGGTGAGAAGAATATGTGGTGTGAACTGTGGGTCATCGCAGAGGTTGGATAGCAGCTGGTGGAGAGTTTGTTCAGGGTTACTGTATGTAAAGAAGGAAGGCTTCTGAAGACCCGGGCGAGCTGCTTATTAAATAAATATGCATGAGCAGCAAGGAGGCAGCCTTGAGCTGGAAGAAACGTCCGCAATAGCTCCGGATTTGCGAGAACTTTGATATCTGGAAAGGAAGTCACTGGTATTATTCAATTGACTATAAATGGGCGGTGTTATCTGAATGGATAAGGGCCCGAGTTTCCAATTGTACCCCCAAAAGCAGCAATGGAAATTGTAGACTCCTCCACTTTATTCGTACTGTGAACAGAATAAGGGACAGAGGTAAACGGCAACGTCTTGGCCTTCTATAACCATTGAATTTGATGAGAGTCTCCTAGGCAAATGGAGCGAGTGCATAATGCTGAGGCGTATAAACCTGTTGACTTGTAACCTCTTGGTATCCGGGGCAGTTAAGTATAAGGGATTAACGGCTTGGATTCTGGAACGGAACTGAAAGCGCTGTTGACCGCTCAACGAATCCATGTGGGTACTGTGAAGAGGAAAACAAAAACTCCCATTGGGAGAAAATTGATGCCTCCCCTCCAGGCAGCTAATCGTTTGAGTATGGGTCAGCCCTGTAGAACTGCAACTGAGAAGATGCTGGACTGACCCAGAAGGAAGTGTGGCTTGGAAAGTGAAGTGAGAGCAGAACTGGAGCTGAGAAGTTGACATTAGTAGCAGTCCATTGGACGCCAGGGATAGAGACACAAATGAGTCAGGGACACATGTAGGACTTACCTGTATGAATATCAAGCTTTGGTAGCAACAGAGAACAAGAGGGATGGACCTGAGGCCGAACTGGACACCAGGGATCAAGACACAATGTGACAAGGACACAAGACATAAGGCCTGAATAGGACACCAGGTACAGAAACACAAATGACACAGCGACTCAAGACACGGAACAACTAGGCCGGAGGGAGAACGCCGGACAGCTGCTTAAACGTTGTTTAGTGACGTTGTGCTACTGTCCAGGTGATAACGGGAGGAAAGGTTTCGAATGGGAGACTTGCGAACGTGGCAGCGAATGTACGTTTTTTGAGAGCAGCCCATTTAAAAAAAACAGGAGAAGTAAGCGGGTAGTCAAGTGCTAGGGGTTTGGAAAGGACGGGTTGACAACGGCGGGTCTCGGTCTTGGGAAAGGCATGACCTGCAGATGAAGCTGGCAGATGTTGAAAAGCAATGAAGAGTCAGATCAATGGCCAGCTGGTATGCGGAGAACAAGGAAGTCTGCGGATCCTGGCTGAGATCAACTGTGCATCGGAGCAGCAAACGGGAATAATGATTGCATGGTGTAGGCAGGGTCGTAGTACTGTCTGTGTAAGAACACATGTGAGACAGTGAGGCTCATGCAAGAGACATGCAAGAGAAAGAAATAGGGATCTCGTAGGTATTTTTAGCGTTTTGGGAGAGGAATGGATGTCAGGAGTGATTGCTCATTACTGACAGTCGAGTTTGATGGAACTTGGTTGTTGTCACCACTCCCAAACTTTTGTTGTAATCTCCATTTTGTCAAAATCAACATATCTTATAATTATCTTTTTCTCATATGAGAAGCCTGTCATTTATTATTTTCTTGTCACTCCAGTCATGTGTAATGAGCTCTTCAGCCTAAAGAAGATTGCTCTCTATTTCAAATCTCAGAATGCAACGTCTGCAAGAACAAATCCCTTGCAAATCTGTCAATGGCTTTTTAAGCCAGCCATTCTTCAGTGCTCTACAGAACCCTTCTTATAAGAGCATTAAGTTATTCTTCAAGTGAGACGCCCTATTTGGAAATCTTGCACATACTTAGGATACTGTGTGTACTCTAAGCCAAATTCTGATGTAACAGACTAGTTATTTATTTAGAAAAATGTTGTAACATGTTTGGACTGCAGTTATCTTACTGACACAATGAACAGAAAGCACAGTGTTAGAAATGTGGGCTTGGTGTCTAATTGGAAGACAGACGGTTTTCACTACAGTGTACACAGGATGAGCCTCAGTTTCCTACTTCACAAAGAGGTCTTTGCATCTGAGTGTGTTGAGGTCAACACAGAGATTGTTTTCTTTAAAGGTTGTTAATAGTACAGTACAAACGTAGTACAATGGAATAGAATAAGAAAAGGTTTCTGTTGGCTTTCCGTCCACTGTATATCCATACAATAAGGAAAGGTTAACAGGAATAAATTAACACACTTCTACAATGTACAGTATACTGTAGCTAAATAATTTGTTGAGATTATTTTTACTCTGGAAATAGAATTGCCTTTTTATCTCTGCACCACAATTTCAAAATCAAATATCAGTTGTGGTTACACTGGACTACAGACAGAGTATTATCATAATTTTAAAAATAATAATGCATTACTGCTCTGATTAAAAAGTGAGAATAATTCCAAAAGTGAAATATATATATCAAGACAACTACAAGTAACTAATCAGTCTTGAACAAGAGGGATGGACCTGAGGCCGAACTGGACACCAGGGATCAAGACACAATGTGACAAGGACACAAGACATAAGGCCTGAATAGGACACCGGGTACAGAAACACAAATGAGACAGCGACGCAAGACACGGAACAACTAGGCCGGAGGGAGGACGCCAGACAGCTGCATCAACGTTGTTTAGTGACGTTGTGCTACTGTCCAGGTGATAACGGGAGGAAAGGTTTCGAATGGGAGACTTGCGAACGTGGCAGCGTATTTTTACTCTGGAAATAGAATTGCCTTTTTATCTCTGCACCACAATTTCAAAATCAAATATCAGTTGTGGTTACACTGGACTACAGACAGAGTATTATCATAATTTTAAAAATAATAATGCATTACTGCTCTGATTAAAAAGTGAGAATAATTCCAAAAGTGAAATATATATATCAAGACAACTACAAATAACTAATCAGTCTAGACCACAACAAATACAGCTAGAAAAAGGAATCTGGATAGACATTCAGCAATGAAACCAAAAAGAAAGGTTGGATATAATTACAAATCAAATTGAGATTGATAACATGATGCACCTTTTACATAAAGCTTAGAACAACAACAATCTGTGCTATGAATGCTGACTTGATATAATATAATTAATGACTCCGCTGCCTTCTATGACTTCTAAACTTCTCTGTTCTAAAGTTCTAAACTTTATTTATAATGCAGATGCAGATTTAAAAAGGCATAATGTACAGAGAAGATTTATAGTAACCAGGAATGAGTGACAGCTTGAGGGAACAAAGGAATTAAAAAAAATGAGCAACAGATAATACCACCAACAAATGCTGAACTTGCACTGAAGTCTAATCCATCTTGAGCAGATTCACAGACACAAGAATAAAAAGAAAACAGATCACAATATCAGAACAGTATAATAGTTCATTCTTCTAATATATTAAGGCCAAATTGCAGGGTTTTTTTTTCAGGAAACAATAATATTGTCAGTTCTTGCTTTGTTTGAGCCTCCTGCTCAAGATCTATAATATGCAAGATACTAGCAACACGCTCACTTTTGAGATATACATTCATATAAGTTTAGCCAAAAACACCACAAAAACAAAGTGCATTCCAACCTAATTTTTTTCTAAAAATCATATGCTTAAAACTACACAGTATTTTTATTTCCCAAAAAAGTCTAATGAATCTAAAACCACAGATTTACAAAAAAATAAATAAAAACTTAAATCAAACGGATAATCAGCATTTTATTTTTAGTTTTTTTTTTCTTATTTACTTGGCAGGACCTTGACTTTGTTGCCCTGGTATACTTTGAGAATACTTTGAGAATGATTGATATCAGATTTCACTTGTTACCTTCAAAAACACATTACCTTCACAAAGCTTTTACATGTTTTCTTTCACCTTCACTGTAGCAAACCCCACTCAAACAGATTTGTTCCAACGACGGATTACACACCAGACATTGTCTGAACCAGTGTTTAAGGGGCAGTATGGTGGCTCTGTGGCTAACGATCTTTTCCTGTGGCTGGAAGGTTGCCGGTTTGAATCCCGCTGGCTGGCAGAGGAATCCTACTCCATTGGGCCCTTGAGCAAGGCCCTCAACCACAACTGCTCCAGGGATGCCTACGCTCTGACCCCAAGCTTCTCTCCCTGTCTATGTGTCTTATGGAGAGCAAGTTGGGGTATGAGAAAAGATAAATTCCTAATACAAGAAATTGTATATGGCCAGTAAAGTGATCTTATCTTAATCTTAATTAAGCCATTGTTGTGTTTGGACCATGTCTTTAAGAAAAAAAATAAACTACTTACCATTGACAGAGAACAAGTTGTAAACCTGCTCATTGCCAATCTGAGCCACACATTCCACGGTATGAAAATCCAGTTTGGAAATGTTCAGAGTGCTCGCAATTTCTGTCTTCCCAAATTCTGAGCTCGGTAAAGTGATGGTACTGACTTCTATAGTCTCCTTTGTGGCACCAGGCAGGTCTGAGCACCTAGAAATCAGAACATTGTAAATTTTATTGCCAAGCATCAATAATGATATGGAAAAACAAGACAGTTTTGTGCATTGATGTCAGTTTTAACTTTATTGTTGTAAGTAATGCGAAGACCCATCAATGATAAAAAATAATTTTATATAACGTGTAGCGGTGCTTTCAATTCTACTGAGGAAATCAGTACTGAAAGCGGAAATGGTGCTGTCCTGCAAAGTGAGAACATGGGTGAGGATATTGTTAGAAAGAAAACCTGCCTCAACAATTTCAGGTGCTCCTTTGAAAATGTAGTCTAACGCTTTGTTTTTTTTTTGTTGGCTGAAAAGTTGCTTTCAGTAAAACACCATTCAAGTTCCAACACCACCCTTTCAGGCCCTGCATTCTCACCCAACCATAAACACAGACATCCATACTCCCCACTCAGTTTCTGAAGGGAACTACAGTATCAGTGTGTTTATCTGACTCATGTCTCTGACTCATGTCGATAATCCTATAATCACAAAATAAGGCCTGTCAAAGGTAAGACTGGGGTCTATTCAGCTCCAAGAATAAAATAGATAGTTCTCAGAGAGCAAAATTATGAATGTCAATGCAATGAGTTACTTAACGGACAGGAACATATCTCAAAATGTCTAAAGCAATTCTTTAAACCTGAACCAGTCTATGGACAAATCTGATTACACACAGTAAAATTTCATTACCCTGAATCCCAACAATTGAAAGCCATCATAATATGAGACCTTTTGTCATGAGCAGCTGTCTGAGGTGTAGTAATAAGAATGAGTGCAATGGAATGAAGCAAGTCCAATCATGCCAGGGTACTAATGTCAGAAAAAATATATAAATATAGTTATTTTGTATTTTATTATTTTTATTTTTGTCATTATGGAAATGATTCCTAGAATTAGTATTTGTACTCCTATTTAAATTGGTTCTGACACACTAAAAGCACAATTGCTGTTGGCATTCCATTTTTAAACATTATAATTACTAGCTCCTACCCTGCCCAGGTCTTTCCCATCATTTCAAATGCATAATGTACCTCCTGTAATGCACAAAATACAAGAATTTAGACAAAATGAATTTCCCAAAACATCGTTTGTGTGTTTCTATTTAGGCACAGGATTAGCTTTGCAAAAAAAAAGCCATGCAAATAATCCTGAAGCACTCGCATGCAAAATAGTTGGGGTCAGAAGCACTTAGAAGGGAAATTCTTTGAGATCACAATTTTAAAAGCTGTAACGACTGTAGAGATCAGTTGGCAGAGCCCTAAATTAGTGCACAGTCTTATCTCTGCCTTCCTCAAGTCACCAGCCCACCTGAACAGTATGTTTATACTGCTCGCTATACTGTACTCAAAACAATTGAAAGTTTTTTTTTTATATGGACACATTTTACATAACTACCTTTCTGATCATTTTACACCATTTGTAACAATTCTGATCACATCATAAAAAGGATATTACATGTTATAGCTGGGAGAGAGAAATTAGAAATAAATCTGTTTGCAAATGGAGATATTGCTGCCCTGAAGAGTTCAGACCAGAGCCACTAGATCACTTTCTGGCATAAAGCGACACAGTAGAAGAACTTAATTCTTCTAATGCGTCTCTGACTTCTTTTTCAAATTCTTCTTGAATTAGATATTAATACTGATATTAAGAAGGAGTGAATTGAGAATAAGAAGTTCTTCATTTCATAAAGTATTGTGAGATATAGAAAAAAAACACCTCAGCTGTTGTTAGGAATAATTCCATCAGAACCTTTTTTTTATATTTTTGAAACAAAATAAACTCTACAAATGAAAATGCTGATAATTATGACCTCGACCAGTAAATGAAACAGAGCATTGCAATAGTGTGATCAGACCTACAGTTACTATTAAAAATCAACAATACTTCAGAAATTTCTGAGTGTGTGATGCATGCAATATGACATCCATAGACCAGCGCAGTACAAGCTACACACTATTCTGAGACCTGATTAAACTACCAAGTTGTCTTTGCTGGGTCTCAAGTTCAAAGACTGTCTCTTTAGAGAACTCCCAAGAAGTAAAGCCTAACTATTCAAATATAATCCTAATAATCCATTAAGGTGCTCAACTGGGAAAGAGTAACATTGAGTTAAAGATTCAATACAATGTAATTCATAAAAAACTAACAAGCCCTTTAAAAAATAATCCTTTCAACACCACTAATAGGTTCAGGTACTTCTTGTTAGGGACCATTGGTCATTTCCTGCATTTCCTCCTTGCAGGCCATTTCCAGCTCCTTCAGATTACATTTGGGAAGTTTGCATTTTGGAAGAGCTTTTATAGTTCTCACCACAGGTGTCCTACTGGGTTGATGTCTGGGGATTGAAATGGCCATTCAGGAACTCTGATTGAATACCCTCTTGGCATGTACTTTAGCTAAAGCTGTATTTTAGGTTATTATCTTGCTGGGAACTCCATTTGTGACCAAGCATGTATCTGATATACGTTGAAATAAATTCCATCTCTCAACTCTAACAAGAATGTCTGGACCAGAGGATGCAAAACTGATCCACTTCCATACTTCACAGTCACCAAACCATTCTTTTTCAACATAAACTTTACCTTACTATGTAAATCATACTGCTTATGGAAAAAAACTCCACGTTCAATCTAAATACATTACTTGGTCCCTTTTTGAGTCAATTGGTTGTTGATTATCAGGTCCAAGTCTTTTCTTTTTATGTAGCTTTGGGCATCTGCTATAGAGACCAGATTCATGAGGTCAACCCTGAATTGCAGTTATGGCAAAATTAGAAGTAGAAGTTTCTTTGAAGATTCCAACTTGTTTCCACTGGTAGCACGTTATTCACCCAAAACACTTTTCAGATCACACAATTGAGTAGAACTTTATGTCCACATTCTTGTGGGTTATCAACCATCAAATGAGACTTAAACTTCCAGAAGATGGACACTACAGTCACAAATGGAATATTTTACAGTCAATATTAATGCACTTTAACATTAGACTACATTAGACTACATTGATATGTAATGAGTCCTCTGCTTCTGCATTCAGTCTCCTTAATAGCCAGTGAAGATAACTTCTAGAAACTTTTATAATCTTTTAAGACTTTGTGAAACTACCTAATGGCTATTAAACATTTTCATGATTAAATTTTCAACATTTGTTTTTCTTTCAAAACAAAGCACAGTGTGTGGATACATCTACTGTAAATGTCATGATTTTAGAAACATGCAATTATTTTGGACAGATCTTTTTTTGCAATATACAATACTGTTAGATTTACAATTGTCAATTTTCATTTATTCATGCAAAAAACTGATGCACATTTGCATTTTGTTAAAACCGACTTCCAGTTACTTGTGAAAACAGAAAATAAATATAGAGCAAACTTTATATAAAAACTAATTAAAACACAGCTAGTAAGAAAGTAAATACATAAACCTTCACTACTTCAGTGTTCTCTTATCAGAACCCTATTTATCCAGATTATCTAGTTATTATCTAGATTATCCAGACTGTCCCCACTGCAGCTGCCTGGGATTGACATGAACATGAACATCCTGTATTCAGTGCTTCAGTGGTGTTATGATTCACATTTTCAACAACTATATACTGTAAATAAGATTTGCCTAAATGGAGAAGCATGCATTCTGCTTCTCTGTTACAATGATTAAATCAACTTTAGAAAAATAACTAATTTCAAAATCACATGGTGGTTTCATATCCCCATTTTGAAACCTTATAATAAGAATAATAGCTTTAAAAAAACAAAATATGCACTTACAGTCTGAGGGTTTATCAAAGCAGGGTTCAGTTAAAACAAACTTTGACAAAGAGGATTTGTTTTTTTAGAATTAAATGCCAAAGTCTTACTTAGATATCATATAAGAATTTCTAGCATATCATTTACACCAATTCCACACCCAGGGACAAACTCACTGAAAACTTCAAAACCTTGCCTGACTTTGTTAGGTTATGCCCCCTGCAAAAGTAAATAAAACTCTCAGCCTAACTACATAATAAACATTACATAAAATGCCCTTGTTTTAGGAAGAGTCACCTGCAGTGAACTTTGCGTTCTTACTCACACACGTCTTCACTGTAAGAACCTAATGCAAATGAAGTAAGCCTCTGCTCCAGGCTGTTTTCTCTGCTCACAAGCAGTGGAACTTTAACACAGTTATTGACTCACTGTTTTTTTTATGAGACCAGCATCTGCCCATGACTTTTTCGGGTTATGAGAGTGAGTACTAAATATGGACAAACTGAGAATTTACAGTATCTAATTAAACAATAATGGCAAAGTTAAAATAAAGCTTAAATTGGATTTATTACAGTAAAGGAAGGGTACATTTCTGAATTATTAGAAATGTAGGACTTGTTGCAAGTGTTTATTAACATACAGTATACATCATCATCAGATGTTTGGCAGATAAAAGTTGTGCCTCCATATTTTGAAATGTCTTGTCTTAAGGCTTTACGAAATTGTCTGGTGAAGCTCATTTTAATGGAAAAGAATTTTTAGTATCAATTCAGATGTCTTTCTTGCTCATTGCTTCCTTTCACATAAACAATGCAGTGTGACTAAGAAAACACCACGAAAATGCAAAGTCAAGCTTACCTCAATTGTTTTCTGACCCAGTAGAATTATATGTTTGAGTTTGTGGGAATTGTGTTTTACAACAGCACACTGAGTAGAGGGTGCTACTGTAAAGATGTAATACTCAGATTGCATTAGCGAGTTCATTGTGGTAAAGGCAGTTCTGCCAGCTGGGAAGAGCTCTGGCTTGGCAGTAAATTGCAGCAGTCTAAAAATTGCACTTTAGATGTGGCTTTGGAAGAAACCAATCTCTGTTCAACTTCTAAACACATGGGGCTCTTTCAAAGCATTTTATTCTTGAGGTACTGTATAACTTGTGCCTTTGTTCAAAAGAGGAAAGACATCCATCAATGTTATAGAATCAGTGTGGGAAAAATTAAATTAGGAATCCTATGCTGTTAACATCAGGGTATCTTAGCCTTAATAAACATTTCTCTCCTCTATTACAACAGGAATTGATTTTACATTCTGAGGAAAAAAACTTAGAGCATCACCTTTGTTGATTCGGAGATATGGGGAAATCCAAGTTAGAGCTTTCTCACTTAACAATAATCATAAGCAAAACAAATTACCAAATTTGTAACAAGAAGAAAAACATTGTAAAAGAGCACAGTTATAACAACCCAGTGTTGCAAGTAGCCTTAAGAAACACAGACTCAGCAGTTATGGTTTCTTTGTGTCCCTGTCTGTCCATGCCTACCTGCCTTCACTATTCAGATCCAGGTCATGAGGGGATAGATGTGCTTGCCATGGGAAAAGTCAGATGACTGCATGTAATTTTTGGAGTTGTAGATTTATTTTAATTTTATACATGACGAAAGATTATGTTCTTAGCATGTATGTTTGAAAGCACTTGTCGGAATCAAAAGGATACAAATGTTTGGCTGTGTAGGACATGATGTCAATGTACATCTGTGATCTCTGAGTGGCTAGTGGATGAAAGACAGATTTCTTATCATACTCTCTCTGCCTATCCACATATGTACCTCACTGTCACAAGCAAGCTTTTCAGAATGCAGTTTTCACTGTAACTCTCAACCTTAACAAGTTAAACTTACCGCACATGAGGCTGTTTACAAGAGTACCAAGAGATTTCAGGAGCCATATACCCAGCTGCAACACAGCGAACCTGGCCATTGATCGGTCCTTCCTGAGATATAATCTCTGGTTTACCTAATACAATGCACGGAAAAAAAATAACCCTTAGGTCTCAAAAAATCCATGTTAAATACACACATATACACTACCTATTACCATCCCTTAACTTACTTAGAACATGAACATCGAAGGTCTGGTTCACAGCAGCGTATGAGTTTGATGTGAAAAATGTGTAATTGCCTCCCTCTGATCCTCTGAGACGCACAAGCTTCAGTCTGCTGTGGTACCTATAAAAACAAAATAATAATTGATCTCAAATGTTACATACACCTTTAATCAAACTCTGTGAAACAACTCGAGATGATGGAAGGAATACTTTGTTTGCAACTGGCCAAATAAAGAACCCAATTTGCAATAAATCTTTTATCAGGCTACAATAACCCCTAAACAGATCCTCAATATTTTTTTAAATGGTTTCCAGCATGTTCCATGTTCTATAGGCAAACAACACCTGTCTCTGCCAGAAAGCCACATGAGGCAACAGACAGTCATGGTTGTAGATAGCTGACCGTCACTCAGTGGCACAAATCATTAGCTTTTCTCCTGGATCCTGTGTGGTACAAGGCAGATTCTTAAGAATGAAAGGTGACACTACATTGGGTCCACTGCAAGGCTCACACGTACTCTCACACACTCTCACACACCAGGGCCAATGTTTTCAGAAGCCAAATCAACCTAAAACTAAAAGAAATATCATATATTTCCAATTATATTGTTAGTTATTAGTGTTTGGAGTAATTTCTTGCTTTTCCCACTTCATATTGGTACAGACAAAAATGGAAAAATTCCCATTTAAAACAGAACTTTGGCTTTAAAGGCTTTTTAAAAGACAGATGGTATCATGTTCTAACTCAATTGAGGGAGTAACAGAAAGCATCCACAGCCTGAGTCACACAAACTACTTCTGTGAAACATTCTAGACAAAATGGAAGAATTTAATTTTTTAATACAATGAAACAAATTCTTAAAATCTTGATCACCTGTAGCTGTCTTCTTCTGTGGCAATAATATGGTCAGAGGCGTTTTGCAGCTCTTCACCCTCATACATCCAGTAAAGATTCTCAGGACGAGGGTATGCCTCAAATTCTACTGTTAAAGTTAAACTTTCCCCAGCTTTAACATTAATGGTGGTGTTTTCTGATGCTGAAATGTTAATGAATCCCCTCTCTGGAATGAAGTAAAGACAGTTCTACATAAAATACAGACGAGTGATGTTATGAACAAATCAAGGCCTGTTAGTAATCTACCATACTATCACAATATACAACAATAGAAACAAAGCAAAACCCTACCAAGTAAAAAATAAACATGTATATAGTGTGAATTTCTCATTTTATAAGCATTTTCCTTTCCACCAACACCTTACTTAGGAAGTAAAAGCATACTGAAGGTAAGAGACTAGATAAATAGACAATGCTGTGTAGAACTTCTTTGTATTGTACACTCACGTGGTAGACAAAAAAATGTTCTTACCTAGAATCTGTAGTTCAACTGAAGTCATAGTTTTTCCTTTTTTATTTTCTGCTGCACACTGATAAATTCCTGAATCCGTGACTTTAACCGAATGGATCAGTAGCTGTGAATCTTTTGAATAATTATCAATCTGCTTTCTGGTTTCCCGCTTCACAGTGCAATCCTATTGGTATGATTTAAAATATTTTACCCCAAATCAAAAGAGATAGTGCTGATTAATTGAGATATTTAAGGTCCTGAAAAGATCTTTATTTACTGACTGGTTCTAAATAAATCTTTAATGAGAAAGTAATATATAAAGGCAGTTACATCTTGACCACTAAGCATACTGCAAACAGCACACAGCGCACAGCACCCACTGACCCTTACAGCAATACAATCCAATCGACATGATTTCACAGGTCCCCGAGATGGTATCACATCTACAGTAATTAACAGTATTCCCTTTCAAGTACGTGCTGATTTTCCTTGTTCAAAATGAGCAAGCTTAGGGAAACATTAATTTTCTTATTAATAAATTGTTACTAAAAACATTAAAATTAAGTTCTTACCACAGCTTCTGGACAAATCCACCCCAGAGTGAAAGCATGATCCACATTGACAGTACTGCATTTCACTTCAAATGTCTCGCCTTTTATCAGAATCACTTTTTTGTTTTTATCCAATTTAATGTCCGGTGCGTGCGAAGAAGCTTTAGAGAAATTAACAAATATTGAATAAACCATATGTTTTTGCTTCTGTTTTTAGTACAAAAGTACCCACAAAGACAAATGTTGTTACAGGTCCACTATGCTGTCCATCACAGCTCCATGGCAAGAGAATTTCATAGAAAAATAATGTGCACAAGGTCAAAAAAGAAAAGTGATTTTAGTAAATGTGAAAATTTCATTTGCAACATAAATTGTTCCTAGTCTTATCTGTTAGCTTTGGAGGTGAAGCATATGAGAATGTGCAGTTGTGCACAGGGTAACCAAGTTCCATCCAGACCGAAAACCTATCGATGACGTAATGAGAGGACAACATTACCAGTCTGGTGCAAACCTGACAGATTACACACCTGTATTCTCTATTGCCATTGTATAGTACTTCTTAGGCAGCCTTTTATGGAAGCTTTGAATGCTGAGGTATCATAGAAAGTGATGATGCTAATAGAACTCATTATAGCATTCAATAACATATGAAATGAAGTGAAAACTGAAAAAAATACATGAAAACGCATGTATACATGTATGTTTTATACATGAAAACACAAGAATGTTGGGCACTATAGTTAAAGCACAAAGCACTAAAAACTGTTTCAGCCGTTGCTTTTTTAAAGGTGTTGACAGTCTGGTGCAGATGTATTTGCATAGGTGGAGCTCGGGGCAAACTCAATGATCTGCTCTTCAAATCCTTACCCAGGGGACTGGTATATATTTAAATATAAGATTTGCCTACAAAGCACACCTGCAGTTACGCAAGACATTCAGGCGAACACCTCTGAGCATTACTTTTTGAGCAGAGAAACCAGGGATGTATCCAGAGTGCAGCTTATAGAGCAGAAAACTGCAGCAGTCAGTTCTCAATACAGCTCTTCAGTATTACCACCTACTTTGTCTATCTTACAGCAACAGGTGGGAGGGGTTCTCCGGGGAAGTAGTGAAGATTTCAGTTTTGTCTCAACCCTTACGCTTCATAAAAAGAAGGCTTGTTTTTTAGTATGATTTAAAGCAGATATTTCTTGCAGAAACCTTGCAGTTTTTCTTTAATTAATTTGTTCTTTTATCCTCTCCAGATGTTTTGCAGGAGTACTTAAATAATCATACAGTACATGCCTACCTCCTCCAATGAAATTTAAGTGCTAATATTTCAACAGCTACAACAGTGATGAATACAAAATTAACTTATTGGTTTGACTACTGTAGGCTGATTTGCAAATAGGATGTAGCGTATGGATCACTGGGCACGATTAATAAAAAAAATCTACACATATCTAAACAAGAATGCACATGATTCAAAAGATAAGGAGGTATTAAATGTGCACATTTTTGGTATCAAGGGTTCGGTCATGATCTCTTCCTTTAGATTGAAGCAACTCTGACTTAGTAAGATACACAAGAATGATCTAGCTGTTGATGGTTTCCAAATAACCCCCCGGAATTGAACCCAGGGCCCCAGCACTGTGAGCTAGCAATGTTAAACACACCTCCACTGTGCCACCCATGTTATGTTATGACGGTCACTAAGAATTTATTATTGAAATAAAAGTTCAGATTTATTACATTCTAATAATCTGCTCACAACTACTGATGTTCACCAACTTTTAGTGTTATGTACAAGCACAGAAAATGTGCGTTTTTATCCTCTGACTTAATACTATGGACATTTATTTTTATGCAAGAAATACATACAGTAGGTATGACTGTACAGTGATTTGTCCAAATTCCCCAATAGGGTAAGAATCCAACTCTTTTTTCTTACCAAGGCGTACTATTAAGTTATATTCATCCGACTTGACATCTTTTCCATTGTACTTTGCAGTACAGACATAGCAGCCTTCAAATATCTTTTGTACGCTATTAATGGTGATCCCCTTTTCAATGCTGGCAGTGGTGTTCATCTCCTTGGGAACTGGCTCCCCACTGCATTTCTCCAGCTTCAAACCCTTTGTGTCTGGGTCAGTCACAAGGCAGGGAATGATAGGATCATCCCCCACTCTGCTTATGACATCCACCATTATGGTCTTTTGAAAAAGATTTGGGGGGTCTGTAAGCACAGAAGAAAATGTCATATACTGTATACATGTTGAATGGTAGCCCCTTCAGTAATATTTTTGCAGAAATATATATAATTTGCTTTACACATTAATTAGAAGGAATTAAAATATTATCCCATCTAAGCTTCTGTTAAAACTGATTTCTTTTGGGAAAATTATAGGTATTGAAGGGACCATTCCTTAAGAAAGAGCTTTTGTGATAATTCCCACCTCAACAACACAGACAGTAAAATATGACATTACATTTCAACTTGATGATTGAAAAAATGGCAAAGTCATGCAATCTAGCAAAGTTTACAATTTCAAGTAAAACTCAAATATTTCACTATATATTTGTATCATAAAGGGAGAACTTTAAAAAATGAAAGAATATAAATATACCCATGCGGTATTTACTTACAAATAGTATACACAATCTAGAATATGTAGTCATAGTTTGTTTTTTATTTAAATAATGTATATATCTACATGCTTTTTAAAATAAATCATTGCTACAAATGTGTTGCCACCACATGCTCAGTAAGTTAAGATACTGTACTTTTATAAACTAGACAGGAGTGACAGAGTGACAGATGAAAAGAGCTGTTTAGCCCATTTAACATCTCAGGATATCATGACTTCCTAACACTTCCTAAAGATTTACGCTTGTTATATAGGTTTAGGTGTAATGGATATAATTTAATTTCAGATCTTAAATCAGCCATTTAAAATAAACCAAATAGAAAAGGCTACTTAATAAGCATTTTAATCAAAAGCATTTAATAATCACTGGTTGGGAGTGGTGGTTATTAGGATGAAAACGAATTACAAAATATAAGTTTATCAAAAGTTTCCTATAGACATATAGAACAAATCTCCTATTCAGAGTAAAAAAATAACAATAATGATAAGCCTTACCTTTTACAAAAATGTAGACTGAGCTCTGTGCCAATGTTTGTTCATTTATACAAACATACCGACCCATCACATCGGGCTTTGCATAGGAAATAGTTAAATAATAACTACCATCTTTGTTTTCAGATTTGAGATCTTTCTTATATCCAACATCTCTTTCCAGAGACCACTTCACACTGGAATTATCACGGCATTGCAGCGTGAAAGATCCACCTTTCAAAAGCACCATATAGGACAGATTTGGTGTAATCACAGGCTCCGTCCAGCCTTAAATGAAAAAAATAAAAAATATAGGAAAGTATTTTCATATAACAGAGACAATGCATCATACGTAAGTAATACGTTTACACACATTTTAAATCCAATTCAGGGTGTCTTTTAGGAATACTGCATTTCAGCTCACTTTTAGTTTATCAAATGTCAACACAATTAAGGCTCACAACAGATAAATGCTTTGTGTTTATTATTACAGTTTTGGATTAAACCTAATCTTTTCTTCTGCTAAATAAGATGCACTACTACTTTTTCCTTAAAGTTATAATTGGATTGTTGATTCTGATTGTACATCTGATATCTCTATATTTACTGCATTTTTGCAGCTTTACTTCCATGTGAAGACCATGCCCACCTCCAAAAATACATTCATACGGATGTACTATTTTTTTTCAAATGCTCAAAATAAGATCATCGAGATGTTTACTGGGTTTTCCTTCAAGAAGTAACAGACCTCTTATGACAAAAGAACAGTAGTAAGAACATAAGCATTATTCTTATGTTCTTATTGCCTTTACAAAGTACCAACCAGCAGTACTTGGTCATGTCCATCTCACGTGAACTGGACTCAGTATTGCTGTTAGCAAAATATAAATGAGCCCCCACATGGAAAAGCAAAAACGTGCGAGTCTCTTTGGCTCCACCAAATGTTATTCTTTGTACTGAAAATTTGGTAAAAGGCCCCTCAGGTAAAAGTGTGTCTGGAGTAGTTGTGCTGTACTCCAAACAGAAACCACAGGGGGACCTAGACCTTACATTTGCAAGACTTTAGAGAAACTGCATAATCCAAATAACTTTTCATAATTTTGAATGCTCCTTTCAGTGTGTATACGTCTGTATGTTCCATCAAATGGTATATAACGAGTTTAGAGCTTTTGCACATAACCTCATATCATACTGTGAGATCAGTCTTAACTACATTTTTTCTTCATAAGAACTGGTGTTTCTCATTGAAGGTGCCAACCCCTCCTAAAACATCTAAATGAGTACAGTTCACAGGAGGAACAGAAGCTTAAAATAAAAAAAATGTAAAAATTCACATCAAAAGCATGATATTGGTCAACCAGCATAAGCAAAGCTAAGGTTAAACTCTATAGACATTTACTTTTTCTGCTCAAGACATTTTATTTATTAAATTTCCATTCCTATTTTATTAGGTTGAACGGAATAGTCTATATTGGATTGACTAAAGACCCCCTTCCTTCACTTAAATGAAGGACAAGTACATGTCCCCTGTTTGAATAAAATTATTGTATAACACCTTTCCAAAGTATTCAGACCTTTGCACAGCTTTCATATTCTCTTGTTTTCAAGTGGGCTGTCATGGCACTTTAAAGCAGCAAACATTTGTTATACTGTATCTACAACCTACTTCAACACTCAAAGCAAAAACAATACATAGTTCAATGAAAAATGGAAGTCATTACAATTATTATAATAATAATAATAATAATAATTGCTTACACTTATATAGCACTTTTCTGGACACTCCACTCAAAGCGCTTTACAGGTAATGGGGATCCCCTCCACCACCACTAATGTGCAGCCCCACCTGGATGATGCGACGGCAGCCATAGTGCGCCAGAATGCTCAGAAAAATTAATTTAGGTTCACAAAATTACCTATTAGAAACATAATTAGTAGAGTGGTCTGTGTGCAATAAAGGTGGTTTAGATGGTTTAAATATAAATACAACTACAGTATCTTTGTAAGGTCTCTCGGGAAGATAGTGGATTTCAAGCAACAATTTAACCATGAAGACCAATGGGGTTTCAAAACAAGTCAAGGTTAAAGCTGCATAAAGGCGCAGACGAGGAGCAGAATATGAAAACAAAGACCGTTAATGTCTCTTTGAGCATGGTGAAGTCAATCAGTAAGGAGTCGAGGGCAGCCAGACACTCCATAGATCAGCCTGTCCCTCCAAACAGAGCAGCTAGGCAAGGAGGAAACTGGTGAGGGATGCCAAAGGGAGCTCAATGGTGACTTACAGAGTTACAGAGTTCACTCCACAATGAGGCTTGTATGGAACAAAAGAGAACATCTAAAATCTCCTCATGGGCTTTGCAACAAAAGCCTTAAGTGATATGCAATCATTTAGCGAAAGGCTTTGTGATCAGACAAGAAAAAACTGGACCCTTTTGATCTACATGCCAAGTGTTATATCTGACACAAATACAACATCGATTATCACTCAGTCAAACCCACCCCTGTCGCCAAGCATGGTGGCAGCACCATGTTATTCTTCTGCTTCTCATCAAAAGAAGAAAGCTGATGAGAACATAGACAGAGCAAAATACTGGCAAATCTTAGAGAAAAACCTACTCGGATCTAAAACGCAGACAAAAATTACTTTTCCGCAAGATATACTAGAGAACCAAAGCACAAGGCTAAAGCTGCAATTGTGTGGCTTTAAAATAAGAAAGTTAATGTCCTTGACTGCCCCATGAAAACATGTACAAATTATTTCAACATCTGTAAATACTATACACATATGGAAGCTACTGACTGAAGCTGTAAATGAAAGGTCATTGATTTCTTTGTTCTGCAAAATCCTGGATTCAAGTTAATTATGTACTGAATGTTATAAAGACAGACAACAGACAGCCTGACAGGATACTCAGCCTGCACGCAACTGTGAGGGATAAATAGTGGAATAATTTCAAGGCAAACAGATTTATGTTATTTTCACTTTCAAATAATAGATTAATTTCCAAATGTAGAGCAGCACTGTGCTACAGTGGTCAGCATCGCTGCCTCGCAGCACTGGGGTCCTGGGTTCAATTCAGGACCAGAGGTGCGATCTAGAGCGTGCATATCATACATTCTCCACTTGTTTGTGTGGATTTCCTCCCATAGTCCAAAGACATACTGGTGAGTTAATTGGCTTCTGGGAAGACTGGCCTTGGTGTGAGTGTGTCTGTGTGTGTGTGGCCTGCGATAGACTGGGTGTATCCAGGGTGTATCCTGCCTTGCACCCTTTGCTTGTTGAGATAGGCTCCATCTCCCCCACAACAACGTCCTGGATAAAGCAGTGTAGAAAACAGACTGATGGACAGATTCTAAATGCCTAATTTTAGCTCTAAGGTTTACCCTGCGTACCCTCTAAATCGGAGGGTTAATAAAAAGTCCACAATGAACAATCGTGACCATCGGACTTGCAAGGACAAGACAAAAGACTATATTCAAATCATGTATTGCATGACAATTACATTACAATTTTGTACATGTAAACATGTACAGAGTTGTAAATTCCGCAGACTAGGTTTGTTTTGCTTGCTCCTCCAGTCACACACCTTCCGCCTTTCCTCACCGAGTTTGCAACTGTTTAAAGATCCAAAGAGAAAAAGATTGTGCAGTCAAAAGCACATAAGAACACACTCTTTGTCATTTTTTGATACAAGGGCTGGATGGCTTAACTGCTTTAAAACTACTAATGCAAGATTATAGCCTCGCAAAAAGTCAGATTTGTAGCATTAGGCTGTGGGATAAGACGGTGTTTCTCCAATACAGACTAATTAGATACTTGTTTAAATGGGAAGCCTGTTATTACTGCAGAGAAAAACACTTTGGGGATTTAGCTTGTGAGCGAAAACAGAAGCATACATAAATTCACGCAGTCCTGTCCTCTTCCGTGAAGTCCTTGATGACCAGACTGATACAGCTTGGACACTGAGCTTTAACTGTCTCCACGAATGTAACAACAATCCCTGTCTTCAAGAGAAAAGAAATACGTCTGCTCCTTTACATCAGGCTATGGTATATTCATTTAGATTTGCTCAAATTACCGCTTCACTGTCCAGCCAAAGCGCTCTGACTACTCGTACTACTAGTATCACGTTTCCAAACCGTTTTCCTCAAAGGGGCTACGGTTGCAACTTTAATTTAGCAAAAGCTTTGTTGCTTTTATAATGAACGTACGTTACTATCATACGAGTTGCAAGCGCTGGAAGTTTGTCTTGTGTAAGGCGTGATCCATTCACTGCCGAAATGAAACACTACCTACATCCGTGTCCAGGCAGTTTTTAAAGCACCCTTAAAACAAATACGGCCGCTCCTTGATGCTCCACCTCCACGTTACCTGTCGTACCTAACAACAAAGTCAGTCTGCTCCGAAGCGCCTTTTAATAACATGGTATGTTGTGCAGCAAGCATGCAAATGTACTTTTGTATTGTAACGACAGAAAAGAAGGAATCGATTTCTTCATGTAAAAAGTGGTTAAATAGATCATTTACGAAGAGGAGAATGGAGAACACACAGCATTTTAGTGATATGTAATTTGTTGTACAATAAATGTTTTAAATTATTAACGAATTAAGCTGTTAGTCGAATTCAGCGCCAGCACCCCTGCCGATGCGCTTATCCTGCTAAGTAAGCCAGTGGTGTCGTGGAGTACGACATTCATATTACAGGTGCTCTGTTGTAATGTATCTCTTTATAACTTTTTGTAAATATTAAATAAAAGAGCAAAAGTCTAAATACATGTAACATTTTTTCCACAACTAGCAAACAACTGTTACATTAATGAACTGTAGTTTTTTTTCACCGATATCATAAATAATTCACTATATTATATGCATGAAAGAATAATGTAACTTTAGGGGTTAAAACTAATATTTTATAGAGTCCTGTGCTGATAGATGTTATTAATCCAGTTCACATAAATTTAAAATGAGAAAGTGCTTTCCTATGTTAGGTGCAGAGAATCGAAACAATTTAAAGTTAAATTATACACTAACCATTTGAGATACACAAACAAGATTTTGACATCCCCAATTAAAGTAACTTCATCCTCTTAAAAAAAACTTTAGTTTAAGTTTAGTTTAATGTAATTAAACTTAGATTTCTTAAAGTGAAATCCTGCTCCGTTCAAGCATCACTGATAAATCATCAAATTCCTACAACACGCATTAGCGACTTCAGCCTGCTTTCACCGGTGAAGAACCCTACCTTTTTCAAACCATAACAGCATCAAGGTAAACAACGAAACCCAGGTATATCCCATTGTTAACATTCCATTTATCTGTTTGTCTACCTCTCTGCTATAGATCTGCTTTGTCGCCTGAGTTGCGCAGCACTTAACACTACAGCCTGCTTCGTTCCACCTATTCAAGTCTTAAAGGCGCAGAACACTTCCTACCAGCAGCCCTTCAGTCTGTCTCCAAGACACCACCGCAGGAAGGAAGAAAGAAGAAAGTTCCTTTAAACGTAATATGATTGGCTTAATTGGATAATTAAATTGTTTTACAAGACTAAGTTACAGTACTGCAAAAAAATTAAACGAACTTGTAAATATATCAATAAAACATTAACAAAATAAACCTCAGCTGCCAAAGTTTATTTTTAATGCTAAATTCGTGTATTTTAATACACTAGTTTCTTACTGTCACCTCGAAAGCAAACTAGTCAGTTTTTCTGTACCCTGAAACACTGGGCACAACGGAAGTGTCCCACAAGCAGGGATTTTGTTATTCTAGTTGACCTCGTATAAAATACATATTTTATGTGGACTTTGTTTAGTTACAGTGTATAAGTGACACCTCACATAATGATTGGGCTTTGAAGTCAACATTTGCTGATCTCAAGGATATGATATCTTTGCATTGAATCATTCATCTCTAATATCTGCAGTATAATTTTATAATCAGTATGACAATTTTCTGTGGTTTGTAATGCTTTGATCATCTTAAGTAGTGAAATTATTAAAGATGCTTATAGTGTCAGAAAATGAACTTTGTGACCAAATTCCTGTCTTTCAGTTCCTTTTTTTGTTTGTTTTTGACTGGTCTTTCACACCAGAGGTGGTGGCTGCCAAGGTGCTTGACTGGAACAAATATGAAACTGTCTGCAGAGCTCAGTGTCTACCTCGGGGTAAAATGCACTTTAAATATGACAATATTTTGTTAAAAAATAAGTTACCTTCATAGTAGTGGTTGCAAACAACTCCAAGAACTCGGTGCTTCTAAAGCCTCTTTTCACAGTATGTCAAATTCTCAGTGAACACAGTGTCTGCTGATTTGGAATTCACGTTCCTCTTATTTCTGTGCAGATGAATTTTTAATGATGTACAAAATTCTGCCAACAGCTGTAGCAGATATCCTTCTTTAGTACAACTGTATAAAAGGATTTGACATCAGGGCAGACATGATGACATTTGCCCACCAAGTGTCTCTCTGGGGGCTGAGACATAAGCAGGTTTTATGACTTTGAACAGTGATCCAGGAATCTGTGTCCAGGAGCTAATCTGTCTTCTTTTCAACATAAATATGTAAAATACAATTAGTTCCCAAGGGTATAAGCATATGTTGTCAGTTATTTTACACACTTATTAAGAAGATCAAGTGTGATCAATACATGTCGCACACAATTTAAAAAGATAAAAACTATGGTTTTTAACTCTACTATAATTGTACTGTATATATATATAATGTTCTATATAGTCAATTCATTGGCCGTGTATATTTGTTTTGTTTCAGTGGATTGTGGGATTTTGAACTGCTGGGTGGGGGACACTGAGGTCTATTGGTATGTCATTAACTCTGTGGATATTTGTGTTTCTGTGCTGAACAGCTGTGTTTTCATGTGTATGTAGTGGGTTAGGCTCCTTCAAGTTAGTATAGAAAACCAATGTTGTTAGTGAAAATGCAAAGGGTAAAACATCTTTTTTAAGAGAATCAGAATAATAATGAGGATAAAGGTCAGAGTTCTTCAACATTTATTATTTCTTCCTCATAAAATGTGCTTCCATTCACAAAAGCAACAACATTTTATGAAGTAGTTCAAGTAGGAGGCTGCATCAGCATGCGTAGCAACAACAAGGACACAGGCATGCCTACTGACGTTCATGTTTGCATCCATCCATGCAGTATCCCAGTATCTATAGTGTATACAGTAGCTGCCATTGCCAATGGCCAAAGCCAAACATAATATAAATGTCAGGCCTACATTTTAAAAGAAATCTGTTGTATCTTCCATCATAAATTTGCCATTTCACAGTGAGGAATTTTGGAAGTGTTGACCGGTTGTTCTGAGTGGTTTTGGGGATACCCAAGGGGAGACAGATATTCTTCACATACTCCCATGAGATACCATCCTTTTGCCCAAGTTCCTTGTAGTGTTTTGGTGACACATATCTGTCAAGGCTGCAGGGTTTACTTAATATTAGGGTGTATTGAAACAAGTAGTATTCCATGCTGAAAAAATAAGAGAGAAAACACAACATTTTGGCTGTAAAGCCTTCTTCAGGTGTGAGAAAGACAGGGCAGACAGCAAAGATTAAATAGCACGAAGAACAAAAACTGAGAGAGGGGAGGAGGCGGGAGGGATAGAGAGGCAGAAAGGCCACTCAGGAAGTGCAAAGTGTAGAAAGGTGAAGAAAGGTGTGAAGTCAAAACCTGCATGAGAATAGAGAAGATTACACAAAAATAAGTTGGTCATTGAGAGAAGGGGGAAGGTGTGAACCTAGTTTCAGGTTGAGTTTTGTTTCTGTTGTCTTTCTTCTATGAGAATTGAGAAACCCTTCTTTGAGAACAGAGACAGTGAGATCAGTGTGATCATGGCCGTCTGAAGTGAAATGAGAAACTATGGGCTTGGAGAAATCTTTAATCTTCACAGCCTGAACATGTTTGCTGAAGCGGTCTCCTACTTTCCGGTTTCTCCAACATAGATAGCTGGGCATTTTTTGCAGGACATACAGTAAGTGAGGTTGCTGGAGGAACAGGATGTTGTCTGGGTGATTCGGAATTGACCTGAGGGGCCCTGAATGAACGTGTGTATTTGCCGGTGATGTAGCAAGTTCTATTACTGGGGAAGGTGCCGAAGGTGCGCTCAAGGGAGCTGAGAACCAGATGTTTACGTAGATTGGGTGGTCGGCGGTGTCACGGTCATCATCCCTCCTCTGGAGGGCGCTCCGACCTTTTAGTATTAGTTCCATGATTGCGTGCTCCTGTCTCCTGTTTTATCCGTCACTATAAAAGTCATGTGCCTCCTAAATTCTAGGTTCAGTACTGGAAGAGGAATGTCTGAAGGCCCTACTATCCACCATGCTCAGGAGAAGCCCGAGGGCAAGGCCTTTTCCCCAGGCGTCCTGACCATCTGAGTCTGGGTCTCGGAGCGCCTTGCTTCGTTATGGTTTTATTTTCCATGTTCCTGGATTCCTTTTTTCCTGTCTTCATCTTGGATTGATCTCCCAGCTGCCTGGACTGTATTTCCCTTTTGGACTCCCAATGGACTTGTTCAGAACCACCCCCTGTCAGTCTTCCCATCCATTCTTCTCTGTGTCTTCCCCATTGCTCTTTTCCAGTCACTTCCAGATTATACCGTCTGCACAGGGTTCTAAATACGCACTACACGGGAGTCAAGACCGGCTCCCGTGACAGGCCGTATGAGATGATTGGGCGGTCAGAAAAAAGGGTATCGATGAAGGGATAACCCTGTAAAATGGAGTAGTTGTTAATAATGGTCCTGGGGATAGAAAGTGTGTTAGAGTGGTAAGGAAGCACCAGTGGAATGCGGTTGTGAGACCAGAAGTGGTGCATTGATTGCAACATGTGGAATCTCACAGTGGTGTGGGGGATTTCATCCTGAATTTGGCTGCGATGTGTTAATGTGTTCAGTCATGTTGTTTTATCATTATGGAGGCAGAGTCTAGAGGCATCTGTGAATGACATAGTCTACACAAGACCCAAATAATTTCGTAGCATTAAAAAACAGGATCTGATACACAAGACAAAACCAGCTAAAGTACACACTCAGAAGTCAAAGACTCATGATGTTTTTGTTAATAAGGCTGCAAAAACTTGCCACGCAGAAAAAAGCTTAAGAAATGAGAGGGAACATTTCTTTTCCATTTTTCTGCCAGTGGAGTGATGATCCAATAGGCTCCTCTTGCCTCTTCCCCCAGACTCGTCCACTGCTCACATGTCTCTGTGGGGGAACTTGCCTCCTGTACTTGTTAATAATCTCTTTGATGCCTGTCCTCCTGTCTTGAAGCACTTCAGGAAACTATACCAAGGAACTATTCCTGTTTTTAGTTGACATAGACATTGTTAGATAATGTATCTTTACATTATATGTATATATTTGTTTATTGTATCCATACACAATTTCTTTAATGAGCAACATACAACAAAAATACAAATAAAGATCAAAATTTTAGTTCATAACACCAAACAACAGAGTGAGACAAAAATCTCAGAGAACAGTAAGAAAATGTCTAACTTCTTTGATTGCAAAGAAATTCAGACAACTTCAGAGTCAATCATTTTTAACGTTTTGCAGGCTTTGGATGATTTAAGGTCTCCAGTGATTTCAGGGCTGAAGGGGAGCAGCTGTAGCTTTCCTTGGTCTCCTCTTGGCACCTTCTGGTCTGCGGTCAAGTGCCCCTGCCCTCCTTCCACAGCCCTCCCGGGTGTTAATTGTCTCAGGAAAGCCCACAGTGCATTTGAGGGCACTTATTTTCTTACCACATGTTAAGTACAGGTTACATTTGAGAACCTTATGATTACTTGTTGCTTAACACTTCAGTAAACACAGTCTGACACAGTGATCATTAACCTGCTGAGTGAGTTAATATGCAATTTTATGCCTTGTTCTTTCTCTTCCATGTCCCCAGGTTCCCTGTTTGATATCTAATGTATAGAAGCTCCAAGAGCTGTTTCATCTGTCATCTGTGGTTTATGGGGATATGACTATTAATCAGCTACCACTGTTTCACAAATGGCAGCACCATTTAAAGAGATTTTTAATACTTCATAAGTAATGACTGCCAATTAATATGAATATATCCCACTATTCATAGCCTCTAAACACAATTACTCAAAATATTGAGATTTATTATATCACACTTGAATATAAAGTTTGTTTTAAATCCCAGCACATCATTTAAAACACATATTGTTTTAAGTGTGGGTTATACAACTGTAAAACACATTTTGTTTTAGATCTGTATTCTACTTTAGCGTAACTTTCATTTAAGGCTAAATGTTAAATAATGATATTAAATCATTTCAATTTTTCAGAAATTACCAGCTAAAAGAGAACGCCTAGGGCTTTTTTCAAAATAAAATTAACATTCAAACCACAGTGCCCACACAAAGATT